GTCCCCCCCAAATTGCTTTTACCAAATTAATAGTTCCATGCTCGTAATTTTTGTCGTCTCGATGCCGCGACACGCGAGCACCGCCGCCACAGTACATCGCGTGTTATCGTCACAATATCACTTTCATATAAAGTTTGTCAAGAGCTTACCGTGAGAGATCGTGATAAGAGCGGTTTTGAACGTTTATTAACGTCGAGTCTTTTTGAAAACACTCTTTCGAAATCGTGCTAGAAAGTATGATTAATTTTTTAAAGTATTCAGTCTATTATTCTTTTACACGCCCTCAAATTTCATACATTTATTTAACTCCCTAATACTTTCGAACATCAAATTAAGAAAAATGTGCAATTAAGTCGAAAACCGTTAGAATTCTAATCCTGTGACTTTTGCTGGCTCGATCGTGAGTTCTATGTAAGGCGCAAAAAGAAATCAACGTGGCGTAATATCGCGTAACGATTCGACATTCGCGTCATGTTCGCGACCACATTTTTTTTCGCATTCCATTCTTCGTCCGATGTGAAGTCACCTTAAAAAGAATCGGTGTGTCGTGCCACGAGATGTGACGTGCGCGTGCAAGCCTTACGCAGCTTCTGTGCGTAAGAGCCACACAAAAGCTAACATCTGGCGCTACGTGGGAAAGGATATTCGTAATATCTCGTCTTATATTCGGTTACGTTTTGGTCGAACGACCGTGCAAAAAGCGCGCTCACGCCATGTGCACAAAATTTTGCAAAGCTCGCTTGAACGTAGCAAAAAACGATATCCGTACATCGTTTTATAAAAAAAAAAAAGATCGTTTTAATAAAAAAAAAAGATTCTGTTACTTTACAAGCCCATTTGGCAAGTAGAAAGAGTGACTACGTAAAACGGACTGCGCGTCACGAGAACATAAAGAGATAGTTAGGACGACCTCAAAAATAACTATAAAAAGATCAATAAGCAATTGCCAGCCTGGTTTCGTTGTTCTCCACTGGAATACGGATGTGAAATGTGCCACACAAAGATCGGTATCGCTACTAAATTTAAGAAGTAGGTGAAAGTTTTCGCAACTTATTAGATTACACGTAAAGACTGCACAAACTGCATTCCTGAAACGAGTGCACGAGGTTAATGCCATAAAACTTTTCTCCCGATTCTACCTAATCAACGAACTTATTAATCGGCAGTTGGCCTTTCAATTTTCTAAAACGTATTGATTTTATTGAGTTGAGTTTAAGACCGGTATTTATTACAACATTACCGGTTAATTTTATCAACTGTGCAATTGAAATTAATCTTCGATAGTATAACATGTGATATGTTGTCTTAATACTTCGTAAATTCTCGGAAAGTAGAATAGAGTATGTTATTATATTTTCTGAAAAATTGCTATAGCCCAAGACTATTAAAGAGTGTTTTTAGAAATTCCTGTTTAATCTTTAATGCAAGAGGAAAGAAAGGTGAAATGACGAAAAGAGCAGTGGTCCGTGATTCTTTTCCTACGAGGAACTGGAAATCGACCGATGGCTATCTAATTCTAGACGCGCGTGTGTGACCGCCTTTCTGAACTGCTGGTTTCCTAATACGGTACGAATACGAGTTGATGCGTAAAATAGAATTGCCACGGTGTGCCGAGCGTCGCAGAAAGTAGCAATTCAGAGGCTGCACAAGCATTTCACGTAACCAAACATTCGCGACGCGGGACTTTTCACTGCGCTATCCATCGACTCTCAGCTCTGACCTTGCACTTTTAGCGATTTATCTTGAGAATTTACCGTGCCTCTCCTGCCAAGATCATCTCCGAGATTATTACGCTACGGACAATATTCATCCCCGTAATTGGATCGTATTCCGAGCGAGGGATCTCTCTAATGATGGCAACATTCGTTGGATGGTTTCCTTTCCACGTAAATTCGACTCACTTGCGATTGTCGCTTTGCCGTACTTTCACCTTTGATTGCACGTTATTGCTGCGCGTTCGTGTACACGATTAAACGCGTACGTATCGATGACCAAGGAAAGTGCGTCCATAAAATACGCTCGGATGCAGTTTGATGAGCGGAATGTGCGAAAACGAGTGTGGTCTCGCACGACCTCGAAGAGTCCCGCCTCTCTGTGGGTGTGGACCACCCTGAGAGATTGCGACACGAGAGTAAGTCGAGAAAAACGAGCGATACGTAAACGAACGTCGCGAGCTCGTACATATATTTAGTCGCAAAAGGCTAAGGCGACACGCACCGGGATATGATTTACGCGACTCGCTTAAATTATGTCGCTTAAAATATATCGATAGGCCGTCAGAATAGTCGGAGGTAGTAAATTAATTGCCGAATAATAACGTTTCAAGATACAATGATTTCGTATCGTTAATTAAAATTATTCGCGAAAGTTGACGTAAATGCAATTTTCGAGATAATTGAGGGAGGGAGGGAGGGATTTTGTGAATGGATGATAATGAAAATGTTTCTTTTATTCGTTCGTTCGTGTTCCGGGACGTGAATGTTAATGGTGTTTAAAGCATACAAGACACGTGTTTCGTTCCCGAAGGGATATGGAGAAAACCTTTCCTTCGCACATATCGTATGCACGTAATGTGTGCGCTGCAATTTTACAAATTGTTTTCCTCTTCTTTGACTGGTGTGTAATTTGGAAGTTAAACTTGGACTTTCTCTTTACTAGAGCATGAATTTATGAATTTATATGGACGAATCGCGACATTATCGATTATTTGGGTTTTAAGCGTGCGAATTAAATAACTGAAAATCAGTGAAAGGATCTAAATCTTTTTGCTTCTCTGAATATCACAAAAAAAAATTGAAGCACTTTTTCCATTAAAAGATTTATCACATTCAATAAAATAAAATATTCTAAGCGCGATGTTGAAAAAGACACTACTAATGAGGCCCTAATGACCAAAAAAATAAAAAAGCATTTAATGGATTTCCACAGATGATGAGAAAGGCTGAAATTCGCTCGGCCGTTCTTAGCGTGTCGTAAATGATGGTTGCTCATCCGAGTTTGTTTGAGAAGAATTCACTCGCACAATTTGTTCGTAAAATACCATCTAAAGAAGATTAGGATTTTGCAATAGGAACGTGAAGATCTTTTTAAGGAAATTCGTGTCAATACCTATTTATAAAGTGTTAAAAGTTAAAAGCGAATTAATTAAAATTAATGATATGAATTTGTCTGTGCATTATTCATATTTATATTCTTGTAAACATTTTATGTGAATAGAATTATAATAAAAAAGATATGATTTAGCCTCTTATGATTTATTTAGGCGGCTACGTCACACGATGAGTTTCTCCTAAGAGGCTTATACAAAATGAAGATACAGAGAGGAACTTCTCATTGATATTCAGAGATTGCCAAAGCATCATCGACGACGTGAAAAAATAACGCGGCGGCCTTTCGTTACCCACGCGCGCCCTGCGCCTCCTGCAGTTGCAAAGCCTCTGTGACTCAACCGGAAGTCGGCCGGGCACCCCTCTTCCTTCATGCCACTTCTTCTCTTCTCCCTTCATCACGGGGCACCCAAAGCCGCATTACGCATAATGGGCGTACGCCTTCCTAACACTTGCTTGCGCATCTGCGGGACACCGTCGCACTCTCGTGTGACACGGTACACACGGCCGTCTAAGCCGATCGACGGGGATATCGCCTTGGCACGCGCTGCGGACGGCTCGATCAGCCGTAAATCAGAAAGCGAAACCTCTGAATCGCCGCGCTAATTTATCGTCGCCGATTATTTCCGCCGATATAGGCGCCGCTGAGGCGACCGCGGCGTTCACGGACTCGCGGACTCGATCGGATTTATCGTGGGATCCGGGTTGCGGGCTACGATACGCGCCGCTTATAGAAGGCGTGCTTCCGAGCAAATCGTGATCGTGCCATGGTGCTGCTTTTGCCTCGCCGCCGCCCGTAACTGCGTTATGCGGCAAACAGCTGAAAAATGCCAGGGCTCTGACGACACGAACGAACCGATAAGGAGCCGATACGCTAACGAGACAATAATCGAGACGTTCGCGCAACTCTCGTATGCAGCTCGATCGAGAGCAGCTGGAAAGGAGATATCGCCCTTTAGAAACCAGTCCGGCATTAAAATGGAACAGTACCGATCAAGGATTTCGCGAAAATACGGGTCACGGCGTGCGGTACGAGCTCCGAGCTGTTAAGCAATCGCTCGGGAGGATGAAGGGCGGACGTCAGTACCAATAAAAGCCGGAGGAAGTCCTTCCTTTCGTCGCGTCACGTTGTCGGCTGTAAACCCGTCGCGAAATTTATGCGCGGCTCGAACCCGCGGAGGATCGTATATATCTTTATTCGACTCGGAGATACAACATATCTCACTCACTCGGCATCCGATGATCGATAACCGTGCCGATCAGTGCCATGTACCCTTCATCGTAAAACGAATATCGTTGCACCGGAAAATCGCGGTCAGCGAGAATTAAGGTCGTGCAGCTTAAAATACAAGAAAAACACAAGTCGCCGGGCGTGTATCGTGCCTGTAGAATTTTGACGATTAAAAACAACTTCACGTCTGAATGAAACGTATGTTCATAGATTTTAATCGCTTCCAACTTTCGGTTCTCACGTTTCAACTTCCGACTCGGGTTCATGTTGAACGCTTAACTTATACAATCTTGAACCTTCGGTTCTCAGCTCAGATTCTATATCCTCGCTGCACGTGAGTGGCATAGGCAACAATGGGAAATGTAAATACTGGATGACATAACGTGTAAGACGGAGATTATCTCTCTCTCTCTCCTTTCCGTCATATAAAACATAACGTTCATTAGACACTGTACAATACCAGATATCAACGAAACTATCTCACGGAAAACATTACGATCTATTAACTATTGCACACGGAATGGTGCTATCTGGTGATGCAAATAAACGAGGAATTCCGCGCGATATATTCTCGAATATTCTCGCATTCGAGATATTGTCGAAGACGTTTGACTATAGCTTCTACATTTAGATATCTTAAAGGAAGCTCATTTGACAACGAGATATCGCGAGCAATTCGCCGCGATGTTTCCTCGATTCCATATGCGGACTCGCGCGAGATTTTCTTAGATTCGTTGGGGCGATGCCTTGGACGATGGTGTTCTAAAGTCGCGTCAAAGAGAACGACATAGTGCCGTGAACATGTATCTGACTCGGTGACGGGGAACATGGTCGCCTTACATAGTTCCGGGTGACCGAGTTTCCCGCACGACGGGGATTCTTCGCGCGTCCGTGCATGTGCTCAAGCTCGAGTCCAGCCAGCCCACCATTTGCAACTAATAAAAGTCATTTTCAGTCAGCAAATTAATCTGTCTAAGTTTGTTTGCCCTTAAAATAAAAATGACACGATAATATCCAGATTATAACGAAACGATAAATACTTTGCATGCAAGTATCAATTATTTTTAATAATAAATAATTACTCGTATATAATAAATTTAATTATTCGTCGAGTTTAGATTCTTGAGATATAAAAATATAAAATTGCAAAATAAATTTTTTTATTTTATTCACAAAACGAATATTTTTTAATTCATTTTTTGGGGGAAGGAAAGGATCTGCACACATCATTTCTGATTGACTATGACGTATGTTTCTGATACATATGACTGGTACTCGGGGACGTGATAGACTTCGCGTTGCACACACGGACCCTGCCGTTTAAAACCCCGTTTTTTTTGTCATGCCCCCGGTGCCAACCCCATTGTTGTTACCGGGTCGAGTCACGAGTCCGCGCTTGCGGGTTCTCATTACCATCCGTATCTACGAGGCACTATCTCTACGCCAGGGCCCAACCTAGTTCCTATTTCCCATCGTGTCCGCTCTATATCTATATAGAAGTGTCTGGGATCATGTCGCGAGTTTTCCTTAGATCCTCTCATCGATCGGTCGCTCCGCCGCGGGAGAGAAACGACGTATACCGAAGATATTGACACTCGAGTTTCAAGTATCTTTAAGTCGGGCACGGATTTTTATATTTCACATTTTATACTTTGTATTTTTCTAATATATAAATAAGATCAATAATATTTTTGATATCAACTTCTTTGATATCAAAGATGATTGATATCAAAGATGTTATTGCAATTTAGGAATATCATGTTCTTGATATCGCAATCATATTTCTTCATGAATTTCTTTAGCTATAAAATTTGTGCGCTTCTCTAATTTAGATATAACCGACACGCTCCACTTCGATAACTTCGACGAATACTAAAAATAAATCAGATACGTGTAACGTACGAAACGAGAAGTGAAAATCGCGAAGGAGTTTTCCGAGAGAGAGAGAGAGAGAGAGAGAGAAGAAAAGTCGTGCTTATGTATCCGGTGAAATTCACTTGCTCCGGCATCTATCATCCGGTATCTCGGTGCGATAAATGTAATAACGATAACGATCATGGTATGCTACCACCACGTTCGTCCGTATCCTAAAACGGGAGATCTAACGGATCGAAACAGGAGGCGGTAATAGATAACGGCGGTGAGCGCAAACCGGCGCGCAGATGCGCTCACTCTATCATCTACCGTATGGCTGTATTCGCGCATAAACTGCTAAGGGATAATGAATACGAAAAAGAGACGGCAATAAATAATGTGCGGTTGGTAATAGATAACAGCTAATGGCGAGCATAGACTCGATCTTAATGTACATGATTAACGCGCGTGTTAAGCTGAATGAAGAGAATGGAAATGGAAGCGTCCTTTTTACGGAGAAGATTAGATAATTTGTCAAGACAAATAAGGATCTTTGTTAGAATTTGTATTAGAAAATGATGGGTGCGTAAGAGAGAGATATAATTAATACAGACGATAATTAATAGTAGCTAACAACGAGAAGAAACTCGGATTAACGCGTTGAAGTTGAGTCAAAGAGAATGGAAACGGGAGGGCTTCTTTGCAGAGGGTATCTTTAGACGATTTGCCTAATCTAAAGACAAACGGGAGATTAAAAAAAAAATCAGTCGGTCGTTTTCAGAGAAAGTCAGAGTTCATTAAATATTTATCAGGAAATCTTGCGCTAGGTCTCCTATCGTCGGAATCGATATTGGAAAGTTTTATTATCCGGAAAAGTGGGACGTGTGTCCTTGATCTGTGCGCTCGTATCTACGAGCAGCGAACGAAACTAAAGCGATTTTATAGTCACGCATGAGCCGACCTATCGTGAGAGTATTGCGACCCGACTGTCGCCCGCTTGACCCGCCATGTCATACGGATCGACGATTCCTGACGTGCGGCTTTCAACGTTACCGTCCTTTTCTTCTGAAAATCATGAGACGTGACGAGAAGCCAGATCAGAATCTTGCGGGACGATGAATCAGCCGCTCGACCTGAAAACCGATCTCATTGTCTTTCCAGTCGCCGATCCTGCGATCGCCATTAAAACGCGTCGTCCTTGAGCATCTTGGGCGCTACTGATAAATGATTTACCGCGCGATCACTCCCGGAGTAAATTTGTTTCTTCAAACAGGCTTCTTCGACCGACCAAACCGGCTCGCTGATCGACATTCGATACATGGGCGAATCACCGTTGCGTCTGGTACACTTACGCGCGATTACTACAATCACGCTGTCGATCGATCGTATCGAATAGTTGCTTTCGCGAAATAAGGCTGCATACTGATTTTCAATTGCCGATATCGTCCGAGCTTTTTTATAAATAAATTCCATCGCGAATTTACTCGCTATTTTCGTTAAGTGTACAATAAATGATCACTTGCGCGGAACATTGAGAGGAATTATATAGATCGTAATTACGCTGATCGAAAGGGTGGATAAGTTTATACATAATAATTTACAGCTTGAGATAGAGATTGAATAAACGTAGATGGCGAGCTATTCTTTTTGTTATAACGTATACCACTTAATCAAGCCACTTGAATGAATTGAAAGATACTTGCGGCTATAATGCCGACGGATGCGTGCGTGCACATTATATCGCTGACACAATGAGCGAACTAATTTCGCAATCTTCAAATTTCAGATGTGGATTATATAACGGGTGACAATTTCTTCGATGTACTTGATAATGGAGTGATTGTGTGTCGGCTGGCAAGAGTTATCCAGGAAAAGGCAAGATCTGCGATAGAGGCTGGACGAGCGAAAGGAGTAAGCGTATTTACCGATCACTCTGTCTCTCAGTTTTATCTTTTTGCATTATCATGATGTATGAATAATAATTCGAATTGTCTTATTTTAATCGATGGTATTTAATTATTATGAAATTTATTATTAATTATCATTAATTTATCATTATTTATTATTAATAATTAAAATACGTGATGTATTACCAAATGAATTTTGCGATTGGAAATTTCATTTTGACTTGATTAAGAATACTAAAAGTTCTGAGATTTCGCTCGTGTAGAAACATGAAGAAATGTTGTTGCAGACGGTACCAGTGATACGTGGACGTTGCTGGGAGAACGCGGCGCGTCGCAGCTTCTTCTCCCGCGACAACATGGAGAACTTCATACAATTTTGCCGGCGGCTGGGCGTCCACGAGAATCTTCTTTTCGAAAGTGACGATCTTGGTAAAACTTGACGCAATTAATTTTAATGCATGCGAATTAAGCAGAGACGGGACGCGTTGTCGTCCGTCGTTCGCTCATATCGGACGGACTTTCAACGAGACGAGATTTAAGCGCGTACCCGATTAAGTTGACGAGCGGCGATTAGCGGAAACACAGTAATTGACTCGCGCAATCTCGTGGCGGACACGCGTGTAGGAACGTGTGCCGTATAAATTACGATCCGGCATAAATCGAGGTATGTAAATCCGGAGCGATCGAGAAGCGAGAGTGATCGTGCGCAACTTCGAGAGAGGAAAGTGGAGCGAATCTACCTCTTTGGAGATCGGCGTGACTTTCTCGCTTAACCAGGTTTAATTGCCGTCGAAAACAATGAGCATGCAATTACATAAATGATGTAATGATGTAATTACCATGGCGGGAGGTTGCCTTGAGAAAAGCTTAAACGTCTTATTGTATCGGAATCAGCATTGATTGAACAAAGTCGAGGACATCAGAAACAATGGTGTATAAATAATAAATGAATCCTAATAACAATACAATAACAAAAACAGTCTTACTAAAAGTTTGTCTAAAATTTTGTTAAATCATCAAAATAATTGTATAGGACGTTCAAATTGGTTGGTAGAATGTAAAAAAATTTTACAGTATTAAGTGTCCTATAATAATTGATGGCTGAACAAAATTATTTTCAGATCTATATCTGACCAAATTTTTAAATCCTTCAACAAAACTGTTCTCCCCATCGATGTAAAACAATACGTTTTTTTTTTCTTTTTACATGTACAATATATATGATACGGTTTATCACTTTACAGTCCTACATGGCCAACCGCGGAATGTTGTCTTGTGTTTACTGGAAGTCGCGCGATTGGCAGCCAGATACTCTCTAGAGCCACCTGGGCTCGTGCAACTCGAAAGGGAAATCGCGGCGGAACAAGAAAGGGATCTTCATTGTATGTCGGATAGTGGTATATCCCATAGCAGCCTCGTCTCTTGGCAGTTTCAGTCACCGTCGCCGACCGCGACACCCAGACCGCCGGCGGAGAAGATTAAACACAGCAGGTAAATATGCCACAATTTCTAAGTCTTTAAAGAACGAGAATGTTTTCTTGAGAACTACTACGGTTTACTCTAAGTGCGTAATCTCATCGATTCTTCGAGCAATCCTAGGTATAATATTTATAATATAATTAAATATAATATATAATTTAATATTTATAATATAATATTTTTTAACGTTTACCCACGATGTAACGGTCGACAAGCGATGATGTTGCGAGAAGAAACAGAAACTTAACCGTTACGGTATGCATAAGTTATTCCCTCGCATAATTTCTGTTTCGCTTACGCGCATCGCATTCGGAATAGCGCCCAGAAGATACAGCTATTCCGGCTCGTTTACGACGACGGATTTCTCCAATGGGTTAACAATCGTCGACTGAATAGGTAATTTTGCGTGGTGTTACCGAGAAGGAGACCTCGAGTCGCGCAATTCTGTAGGAGTGGCTGAGTTTTATAGTATATGCAAAGTTTACGGTGCGTGTGCCGAAGCTAAATGCGCTATGTGATAGCTGCTACATTGTGGTTCTATTGAATTGTTTTAAATTTACTTTTATATTGGAGCAACTCGATAAATCATGATGAGATGAGATAAGAATTTCAGTTCTCATCATTGACTTCCGGTATGATGTTTCGCGAAATTCATATTTACAGAAATTCATATTCACAGAAAGAACAATTTTGCTGAAGAATGACATTTTGTCAGATACAATTTTGAAAATAATTTTGTTGAGCAAAGTCTAGATTATTATGTAGGACACTTACGCAAAATAATACCGCAAAATTTTTTTATATTCTAACAATTAATTTGAACTACTCAGTTGTTTTTTAAATTCAACAAAATTATTGCACAACTATAGCTGGACAAATTTTTAAAAATTTCCTTCAGCAAAATTGTTCTTTTCGTGTATCATCATAAATTAGGATTCATTCAATCGTACGTTCTAGCTCGGCGTCCGAAGTCGCAATGACGGGCACACGATGGCTGGATGGTCCGGTGACTGGTGGTACGCACGAACCTGAAATGCGAAGGTCCGTTAGCGACAACGGGCCAACTGGTAGTGACGGAGTTCCCAGCGACACTACCGAGGACGATTGGTCCCGTGGTAGTGTCGAAGATCCTGACGAAGTGCCGTCGCCATCAAGCTCGCCATCGCCGTCGCCGGCTGAACCGCCGGAGCACACCGGACCGATAACAGAACTCGATCGCAAGGTATCAGAACAACTCACTCTCATTTACATACGATCTTGGTATCAGGTCTTCTGATAATTTCAAACTTCAAACTTACTGCACTTTTACAGAAGTCCTTTATATTAATGATATATGATTGTCAGGAATATTTCATTGGAATTCGTTGCGTTTAATAATTTCCAACAAAAATTCGAATTATCGTAGAACTCTTTTTCATCCTGGGGACGAAGCTTCAGTAAGTCGGGAATTGAAATAATACTATGCGACGCAGAGAAGCTGCCTCCTTCCGTGTCGCTCGAAGAAATGCATATGCGGAAGATTGAATAATTTATATCCTCTCCTTATTAATGTTAATGTAGCTTCACTGATTCTACACACGCGTCGTTTTAGTCGTACTTTCGCATGTCGTTGAGAGAACCTTGGTCCTACGCGTTATTACGGACGTTGCGTTTGCATTATAATCATTATCGTATACGAGAGGGAAAAGATATACGAGAAGGAGAGGACGATGGGAATCGGCGTTTCCTCTGACACGTTTTCCACGCATGCATCTGCACGCGCGTGTCGGATTCCTGCATGCCTCGCGGCGGAAGTTACGCACCGGCCTATCTTCGGTCCTTCGCTTCTCGCTGCGACAGCCACGTCGAAGCGATTTATCTCGCGTGACAGTCGATCGTTCTTCGTCCGTCCGACAACAACGAAGGCGGGCGGCCCGGTGTGCAAAAAACACCGGTCTAAATATACCCCGTATCCTTTCATTTTGAACACGCCTCTCTCAGTCTACATCTTCAGCATCGCGTGCTTCTCTCTGTTCACAGGTGCGAAGAGCCACCGAGGCCGTCCAGAGACTCTGCCAGTGTCCGTCGAATAAGTGTTCCAAGCTGAAGGTGCGCAAAGTTGGTGAAGGCCGCTACCACATCGCGGGACGTAATGTTTTTATAAGAGTAAGTATATCTACTTTCATCATGTAATTTGTATCTTGTTCGTAAAATTAAAGTTACTAAAAATCGATCTTACATATTATTATAAAATTTCAAAGTCGTTTTCTTGTTCAATATTTTGAGTTATCTTTCGTGTATCGTAAAGCCATCGTTTAATAGCTTCCGAATCTTTCCCTCGGATTTTGAGAAATCTTTCTTCCCCTTTTCATTTATTCTCCACGTGTCGCGGTGACTTTACAAGTATGCCAGTCGTTAATGATCGCGTCGCTGACGTGTTCGCAGCTTCTCAAAGGGAGACACATGATGGTGAGAGTGGGCGGCGGATGGGACACCCTGGAGCATTTTCTGGCGAGGCACGACCCCTGTCAGGTGAGGGTCCTCAACCGCGAGGGCACGCCGCCTCCTCCTCGCGGCACCAAGCACGACAGCTTCTTGCACATTCGCGCCAAGTATCGCAGCCCGCCGTCGGAGTCGAGCCTCTCACGTCGGTCACTAGCCTAAGAGCACGTAGTGCCTAATCACGCGCCCACGCGATCACGCGACGTGGGGTCCCTTGGGTGAAGCTACTCGCACGCCTGGCGCACGTGCGAATTGATATATCTCGGGGCACACCGACATACCGCTATCGCGTCTCTCGAGCACGTCTACGGACGTCTCGTCGGCCTATGTGTCAAACAAATGCGATGAAATGACGCGTGGCGGCTCGAGTTACCGTAAGGACGGCAATTCGCATCATCGCACGATTTTTCACGCATGATATACATTCCTTCTTTTCAACTACGTTCGGTGAGTTGACGATTTTGAGGGAAGAAAGGCGCCGCAAAAACCGCCTAAGAGCTTGCGGTCACTTATGCACATTCCGATACTCATACATGCTATTTTACGTGAGTTCTCTCCACGGCGAGAAATCACCGTACGCACCGCCTCTATACACCGGTTAGCAACGATACCTCTTCCATTCTCGTATCTACAGTACATCCTGAATTGTATACTGTAACATGTCGGTCACGGTGTTGAGAAGCACAGGGATCGCGATTTTTACTACGTCCATATCAGGTGGTTGAAGAGCATGCAAGTGTCGAAGAATATCCTCACAGACGCGTCGCAATTTTTTCGGAGAAGGGACGAATAGTCAGAGCTCTGTGATTCAAGAGACTTTGACTATTCGGACTTTCACGCATTGCCATGTCAACGAATTCACTGCGTGCTTTCATCTTGAATCACCTCTTCAGGCACTAACATTTGCAGCATCTACTCGGAAGTTTCTTCTAGGAAGTGTGCTGCATCTTTGGTAACGGTAGCGTTAAGATCGCAATGACCAAACTTTATTTTCGGAACACTTTCGTGTCATCATGATAATCATTATATTAATAATATAAATAATAATAATAGGAATTTTTTAATAAATATTTACTTAAGCTCAAACGTGCTGCGTTTGTATGTGCAATAAAAGCAATAAAAGTGCAATTAAACTCTCAGGTAGAAAATCGTCCGTGTCATGCCTTAAAAAAGATCGATTAATCTTTTTCTTCCTTTTAAGAAAATTTCTTCGCAACTCAATATGCAATTTTCTTCTTTGAAATAATATTCATCACGGATTCACTTAAATTTCGTAGTCAAATAATATTGCTACGTTTTTACTATCTCGATGTTGTAACGTAGTTTTTAATATGCAACTCTATTCGGATTTCAAGTGCGTTTTGGTCATTGCTATATATCCTATAAACCAATATATTCATACAGTGCACTGCCATATTTTGCAGCGATCAGGCACTTATAATAATCGACAGGGTCGGCTTAATTTTCTGTGTATTACTTTCTACACATTTGATTTAGGAATCACTTACAACGTATAATTTGACCCACATTACTTAATAAGTGAATTTTTCTATATTCGCATAAGAGTCGATATCATCGATATTTATAAAAATCATACATCGTTTAAAGAATGGCATGTATTTAAGAGAGCTTTAAAATATACGTTATCAATTTTTCGCAATTTTATTTGAACTGTAATTTTCTGCGAGCTAGTGATTCTTATTTTAGTCGACCCTGAAATTTATAGATACACATTAGCATTCGATTAATACCTAATAAACTTGTATTGCCTAACGTGTAAAATGTTTCACGATAATATTTGGCACACATATATACATTCATATAATAGATCTATATGTTTTGTACTTTTATATAAATATTTAGGATATGCTAAGGAAGATATTATGGGATTGGCGTATTGCCGAAATAATTAAACCATATGATTATTCCGCTTACAGAAGTGCAAGAGCACAGTGTGCAAAGGAATACCAAAGCAAAGAAACACGCGACGAGTAATGTCAGCTCGTTGAAGCTAATTACCCATCATCCGTGATCCGTTTATCGCTCGTGTCAGCATCAGAGGATTATCATTGTATTTCACGAATTGAGAACTTTTACGAATTTTACGAAATTAGTTAATCAGTTCCCTGCGTTCGAGTATCCTTTGCGAAATAGTAGAATCAGTGTTAAATTGCGATTTGCACTGCGCAATTACAAATAAGCTTAAATTTAGTAAGCTATTACTGGATACAGGGCTTTACGTTACACAGATATAAATTGCGAAGGGTGTTACTTCTTATGTAAAGAAAAACCGCCCTGCCTAATTAAACTAATTTTCGCCATATTATGTAATTGTAAATAATACGTCATCTGACATATCGACAGATAATTGATTTAAGTTAATTGTACCTGCTTTATACCGCGTTGATGTGTAATATTCGCGGATTTTGTGTAAACTGTATAATCTATGTACTTCTAATAAGTTGTTTATACACGTAACTCGTCAAGCGCCTTTTTATTATAAATTATGTTATCGATATTCGAATCTTTCGATATGCGCTAACATTGCGACGCATAAAGTAGAATTGTGCTTTGGTGATATTAAACTGTTACAAATTTATTTAAATTGTTTATAATAAAATATTAAAACAGTATAATCGAGAGATAAACATTTTTTAAAACAGACTATTGGCTACTTTAATATTGTTTCATTGTAATTATTCAGCTATTAAAGTATTGTAATAGTATCATATTGCATATATATATATGTTTAGTTCTTGTTTATAATAACAGCACTAAGCTTTCACAAATTTTAAGATTTCGTCTATATGCAAACTGTATCGTAAGCAACATTATCTTTATCTATTCAACTAAGTTCGCAACTATTATGTCGGTTGTTATATTTTGTTGAACAATAAAATATCTGACAGTAAAATGTTTTCGAAAATTTTAACTTACATTACACTATATTTTTAAATCCTAATATTAATTTTGAACGAATATTGTTTCTCCCCGAATAATCTTATTTCCAAAAATAAAAATGAGATTAGTGTAATTTAATTTGATATTATTCATATGTAAAAATATTTATTAGATTTGATATCATTCGATGTAAAAATATTTATTAGATCATTAAATGACAAAATAATTGTACTATTTTTTACCAATTATCCATGATTATTATTTTGTTATTTTGTATTTATTTTGTAACTACTATAAAAAAAATTCATTATATTACTGCCACTGTAAATTTTTAATATATGAGAAAGAGAAGAATTGTTATATATTTTTTTGCATATTAAACATATATTTCGTATAAAACCAAATTCAGTACAAATTAATTTAAAAATATATGTTTGTTTAAATATTATTTTTCATTAGAATTATTTCTACATAATAATACGAAACATATGTGACTTATATAGAATATATCTCTAGAAAAATTTTTGGTATATATTTAATGTATATACGGAATACATATAATAAAACATACTATAAAATAATATATAATATCAGGTATATAATATGTAACTAAAATAATAATACTATCATTGTATAATGCAATTATGCATGGTCATATTGAAATGGTATAAAAAGATATCGTCACGATGAAATATGTTTTACTTTTTTTTGCTTTTACCTAATGTTAGCGTATGATGTTGGGGTTGCTGCGCAAATTGTGCTTTTCGTCTGTTAAATTCCAGTATATCATCTTCAAGCTTCTTACGACTTTCTTCTAATTTCTTTTTTTCTTCGCTATGGTCTTTCTTTAGCTTGTCAAACTTACTATGCAACTAATATATATAAATATTATTAAATAGTAGTAATATAATAAAATATAGGACATTTAGACACACTTAACATGATTACCTCTTTTTCTGCCTCTTTCAATTCAGCTTCCTTTTCTTTTACTCGAGCGACAAACATTTGTCGCATCTCATCCTCTTTTTGTTGCAATTCTTGTAAGTGAATGGATCGCTTTGCTTCGCACGTCTGTTGGAAACTTACAGGTTTGTTGTCACTATCGACATCACTAAATCCCATCTAAAAATTCATATAATAAGAAAAAGATGATTTTTGTAAAATTTCTAATAGAGAATAAAAACATACTTGTTCCAATCTCTTTTTTCGATAAAGTTCATAATGGCGGCAATGCGTTTTTTCGCGCATGTCTTCCATATTAGTACCTATTAGCATCTCGCGTAATTTTATGAAATCACAATGAGATTCATTTTCAACTGTAACATTTTAATATAATATATAGATTATTTATCGCTTTTATTTCTTTTCTTTGAGATAATCTTCATATAAATAAAATTCTAAGTATAATTCTTACCTTGAACTGTACCCCACGGATATTGACGAGAACGCATCATTTTGTTGCCCACGCGAACGAAATCTGTACTGCCAACGACAGCGAAGGGTACATGAGTATTCATGGTAGCATTCACATCTGCTACGCTTTCATCATCAGTTGGAAATTGATAAATATGTATTCCATTGTTTTGCAACTCGGATATTATTTTACTCTAAAATATAAACATTATAATAAAAAAAAATACCTATAACATAAAGATATAGGATGAATTTGATTCCAAAAATAGTACCTTAAACTTCTGTAACTCAGTCTTTGATATTGTATCAGCCTTAGCAATAATTGGAATGATGTTAACTTTGGTATCCAGTTTCTTCATGCATACAAGATCAATGGATTTCAAACTAAAAGCATAAAAACATACATGAGATTAGAGAAATTCACCCGTATTTATAATTAATTTATAAAGTCATATTCACTTACCCATGGCCAGTAGGACATATAAAATAAAGGCAAATATGAATGCGACTATCATGATAAGTTGCTAGATTGCGTTTGATTTTTAACTCTTCCTGTAAATAAGCTTCAAACTGTGCATCTATATAATCGACAACTGCCTTGAAACTGTCTTCTTTATTGATTTGATCACCATAACCAACAGTATCAACGATAGTCAACTTCAGTCTGACGTTACTTTCTTGCAGTTCGTAGGTATGTGCCTTAAGTTTTACAGATGGCAAATTATGGGGACTGGGACTAGATTCAAAGCTTGTATTAAAAAGGGAATCCATAAGCGTGGATTTTCCTAGGCCGGTTTCACCTGTTCAAATCAAATTAGGATTGAATATTTGCTATAAAATAAGTTCAATGTTTAAATAAAATTAAATTAACACTTTTCATACCAATACAGAGAATATTGAATACGAATCCATTCTGCACTGATTTGTTTACCAATTGACTAGGCAGACTGTCAAATCCAACGTGGCCTGACAACTTCAAAGTACGCAACATAGACTCCATCTAATAATAGAAATTATACACATACATACATACATATTACTATTGTAATTCTAGAGGAATAAAAACAGGGGAGCTATATCCATGAATGGATGAAATAGATGCATGAAGGAATGCTTAAGTCAATGTACAGTTATGATGCCTAAAGAGAGCCAACACCCTTGAACTTATGATGCACAGAGCTCGTAGATTTCGATATCTGCGATTATATACACGTAAAACAATGCCAAGGATATCTCGATGAAATAATGAAGAGAGAAATTTATAGCAAGTATATCGATTGTTTTCGTTTACGAAGCAGAAATTCGTTAATTCGAGACTGCATCGTGACGGAGTAATACGTGGAATTGGTGATGACGAAAGATAACGCGCGCGGATCTCGATCGTTCGACGAGTGACAACGAGGTTGTCTGGGCGAAACGTGACCTGCACAAATGAGGAAATTCTCATAATACCTTAGCACGATCGATCTCCTCCGTCGCCATTTTTCTTACGATTCCGCTGCGAAGGCCACGGGAATGTGAGCACGAGACACTCGATGAAAATTGTGGCCACGACGGCCGTCAAATCGGAGTATGCATGCGTCAGTCGCGACGACGGTCGCCGCGAAATGCTGCCGCTAGGGCGTAGCACTAGTCTGGCTGACCAATCAAAGATCCGTAAATTGATCGCTCGATTTGCGCGACGCGATTTTGTTACTGCGATAAGACGACGAACGACCACGCAAGGTTAATTCTTTGATTAATTCGCGGTAAATCCGAGTATGGGATTCATGGGAAAAGTAAAAGGGAATATTGGAATTTGAGAAAGAGACTTGTGTTTCGGATTCTTATTTTTCTTTCTTTTTTTTTTTTCATTTTTGTATGTATTCGCGTTGATTAGTTGTGAAACTTGCCCGATTATAAATTGATTATTGTAAATTCTTCAATTTCCAGAGCAGAGATTTTTTTGAACAAATAATCTAAAGATTAATTAAGCGACGAGGAAAAAGGTCCTGTTTCAAAATTTACTGCCAATAGTGAAAGTCTATAATGTATGTAACGCAAACTACATATTTTCAATATTGGCAATAAATTTTGAAATACAATTCCTCAATTAACATTTTCAGAAATGAATTTTTAAAGTCAGAAAAGTTCAATCATCACGCAATTCCAAGTGACATAGATAATGCATCTGTTATTGTACGATGAGTTTTTTCCCTCTTTATTTGTCATACATTTATTTGTTGTATCGTTTGACTTTACTTTACGTCAACAATATCGAAATTAGAAAAGAATTAAACGTGCGCACAAGTCCCAGCGTTCTATTAAAAATTAATCAACGAGAGTCATTATCGCGCAAGCAAACCGTCGAGGCTCGACGAACGCTCGTAAATTCCGCGTCGCGCCGCGCCGCGCCGAGCGCCGTCGCGACGCCGGGGCGTTTGGCAGCGCCGGCGTGCATCGCGTGACTCGGTGTGTCGCCGCCTAGGAACATTCGGGCCGGCGCGGCTGGCAGGCCCCTCACAACAGTGCTCACTTTCTAACATGGCAGATCAATTTGTGTTGTATTATCATGTGACGGCGAAACGCTCCCGTTGATAGGACCGTAACCTCGTGCGAAGCGGATTGTAGAATCCCCGGTTATAACCTCGCGAGTGTGGACGCGTGGCGCGGTCGCGGTCGCGTAAAACGCCGTCGCGATGGCGGACCTCAAGAGCCCGCCGTTCAGTGACATCAAGCGGCCCGAGGAGGTGGTGGCGATGGCGATGAACGACAGCCTCAAGTTCGCCGTGCTGATCGGCCTGATCGAGGTGGGACAGGTGTCCAATCGGGAGGTCGTCAACACCGTGCTACACCTGGTGAGTTGTAAGCGCGTCGGCCGACGGAGCGGGCCGAGGTCGGGAGCGAAGCCCGGCGCCGTCGCCGTCGCCGTCGCCGTCGTCGTCGCCGTCCGTCTCGTCTCCGCGACTTCGCTCTAGACCGCCAATTTCCGCCGCCCACGTCGAGACGCCCGTCGCTTTCGATGTGACAGCTGAACTGTCAAACTTCCCTGACCTGTCTGCATGCACACGTCAGGATCCTTTTCATCCGCGAGAATTTTCCTCGATGAGATCGATCGTACGATCCCTTCCCTTCGATCAGGAAAATGATGGATCGTTGCATCAGACCGCGTGATTTTCCTAATTGACTTGATATGTCGTCTGTTTCATTAGCGATGAATGAGCGAGCGAGCCTTGGGACGGTTTATTAACATAGCCTCACCTTTATGTTAAATCGCTGTTCTCCGCGCGCGCAATCTTTCTTTCCTGCGAGCAAATGTAAACTCGGAACTCTCTGCTCCGAATATGTATCGTATTTGCGCGAAATATTTCTCACTTGCAATTTATTTAAATATTGTACTTCACGTTATCTGTTGGATTTAAAAAAAATATATATATATATATATTTCCGATGATGATTTATTATGATGATAGATAACGAAATGAAATAAGCTTGGCCTAATGAACTTGCCGCTTCATTAGTCACTTAAGCCAAATCGAGACGCTTCGCTGTCCGAGGTATTATTCCGCCTCGGCGGAAGGCCATACCTCGCGGATCGTGTCGCGTATTTAGCGGCGAAATGTGTCGTGCGATAATCAACGCGCGATAACATCGATCGCCGTGATGGACAAACAGACGCCAGAATCCGACGGCCTACGGTGGGCGATAAACGTGCGGGTTGCGTGCGCGGCGAGGCCGCGGTAATTACGCAAGGCGTAATTGTCACGTTTGCAAATGCGGATGAGTCGCGGATTCGTGACGTCGCGGGTCAGCCCACGCCGAGTTTTTTCGGAGTGGATGACGACGACGACGACGACGACGACGACGACGACGACGATGTACGTTTATTATCGATGAAAATATTCGGGAACGACGGGATTTCCCGAGGAAGAAATGACGAGTTTTATCGCCCGCAGCGATCGCTTTACTCGTAGCCTTCGGTTCTAACGCGATTTCGTCGCGCTTACGCGAATTTTACGGTGGCTACCGTCGACGTCGTAACATCGTAGGCGACGTTCCTTCTTATCGGCGATCGCGATGAATCGTCTCCTCATGCTGAATATCTCTCGCCGAACAGCTTCTCCATCGAATTGCTCCCTGCGACATTTATCGCGCTGGGTCTCGTCATCTCGATGATGTGCTTCTGGCGTGGATAGATCGGAGCATGCACGAACGCGAACGTTTCACGGAGCACTCGACCGCAAATATCTCGCACGTGGCGCCGATTAACGATTGGCCGCGTCGGGACGGCTGTGAGCGACGTTTAAAGTCACCGCGTTATCATCGACGCCGACGTTCGTTCCTCGGAACACGCGTGTTCCTTCGGACTTATAGGCTCTCACGTATATAACTTTTATGCTTATATTTAACCCGGTTCGATATAGCGCTTCTTAAGCGCGTGGCAGGACGTGGGTCGTTCGCGTCAAGTGGAGCACCTTCCTCTTTGAAGAAGCACCGCGTACAAAGCGTGCGCAAAATCTCTCTACGCGGTTTTTATCAAGTTTCAAAAAAAGTTGCGCTCCGAAGGCTTAATCGCGGAACGAAGTTCCCGTGACATTTTTCTTTAATTATAACGTTTAATAAAACTCCAATCTGCGTACCGGACGATCGTTTCAGAGAACGTTTGCCGTGCGTTATTTATGCGCGCTGTTTCGCTCGCTTCGTACGTAAAATTTTGTTGTCGTCATCGCAATTGATACCGGTTGACCGAAGTATTTATTTCGCAGTCGTTCCGATGTGGATACTTCGAAGTACGTGGGGACACGTACAGGGAGATAATAACACGCGCGAGCTCGGAATATAGGACGGTAAATTTACTAATATTACATCCGCTACCAATATTTCTGAATTATGCGTGTTACGCGCCGCGAACGTACATGTAGCATTTCCAGCTGGTATTTTCGCAAAACATTTGCGACATCAATTGAATATTCCATATTATCGATTTCAAATACATTTCGCACACACGGATTTTGCTTTTTTCCTCTCTCTCTCTCT